TCTGTAAACCGCTTAGAGAGGGCTGAAAGCCCTATGAAGCGGTATATAAGTCTACTGCTATTGCTATTCACTCTCTTTTTTGAGGAAAAAAGATGCATCTTATACTCCGAAAAATATGGTAATATAAATCGCGTGCCACAGTTGATTGTCAGAAATACCGGTTCACCCGAACCAACAGAATTTGTTTACTACCGGTTCAGGCAAACCGGTCCGAATTGGTAACATGTCACCCCTGCTTTAAAGGTGATAACCAGTGTCTTGGATTGCATTTAGAAGCAAATTGGCAACCAGCGCAGCTCCTGCAGAAGAGTAAGAATATATGGAAGGATGCCACCCAGAAGATGAAGGTGTGCACAGTTTTCAAAGCACAAGTCTTGGGATAATGTATTTAAATTACATGAAAGTATGTATGTGGAATGTTGGAAACAAATTATTGGCCATAACCAGCAGTTGACATGAAACCAAGAGCTGTGACAAGCAGAGGAAGACTTCCCTTCAGCAGATGTTTTCAAGCAGAGGAAAGACACCTGTCTGTCTGGGGTCCTTTAAAGACATCTGTCAGTCTGAAGTTGAGTTCAATTACCTTGGAGCACCCTTCCAGTTCTGTGATTCCAATTCTGGATTTTAGGAGGAGCCCTCCTATTCTAATATCTCTAACACTATTAAGACAACACGGTATCAACAGTAGGGACCTCCAAGTTTCTGGGTTCTCTAATCTCCCAGGATTTGAGATGGACACCTAACATTAGAGCCATCATTAAAAAGGCACAAGAAGAATGTTCTTCCTGTGTCAACTCAGAAGGTTCAGACTGCTCCAGGAGCTGTTGATGTAGGTCTATAGAGGAATTATTGAGTCTGCCATTTGAACTTCTATAGCTGTCTGTTTTGGTACAGCAGCCAAACGGGACAGGTACAGACTTCAACTGCTAGTTAGGACTGCAGGAAAAAAAACATTTGCAACCAGCCTTCCTTCCTTTGAGGACCTGTATACTGCAGGGGTCAGAAAGGAGGCTGAGAAAATATCTACAGACCCTCCTCATATCTCAGACATAAACTGTTTCAAGTTCAACCCTTCAGAACACCACTATAAGGCAATCGCATGCCAAAACAACGAGACACAACTAGTTTTTCCCCCTGGTGCCATCACTGCTGAGCACCTAATTACCACAATTCTGTCTTGTGTGTAACAATGTTTACCCATACAGTACAGCTGTCTTACTATTATCTTTCTCATCTTTTCTACTACCTTCTTCTATTATGGCATCTTATGATTGTATTACTTCATTGTTTGTATGTAGACTGAGAACTTACCTTTGTGTGTTCAATCACATTTGACCAATAAAGCTATTCTATTCTATTCTATTCTATTCTATTTCTATTTCTATTTCTATTTCTATTTCTATTCTTCCCTTTATATTCCATTCTGCATAGTGAGATGGGCAGCTATATGCATCTATAAGCTATAAGCTGGTGATTTCTGTCACATATTCTCAAGGTGAAATAACTGGTTGCAAGCAGGGTTCCACCACAAAACCGCGGTAGACTAAAGCACGTGTGACTAAAGCGCGGTGACAAAACCGCACCGTCAAAACC